ACTACTTGTCATCATGTGGTGCATTATTGAACATACTATCTTTCTGAGTCCAGCAGGGCGACTAAAGGAAGAAAAGGAAATAGCCCCAATTATTTTGTCAGTTTATTTGTGGCTTATGTAAAATATCGGTTGCCCCTTCAAAAACACATCTAAATTTAGGGCTGGGGATTTAGCTCAGTGGTGCTGCCACCTGCCTCGCAAGCGCATGGTCCCGAGTTTGATCCCCGGAACGAAAAAAAAAAGAGACTTCTGACTTCATCCTATGTGTACTATGTTTGCATGTACCTGACTATTAGATAATGCCAGAGGAAATCACAATGCACCAAGCTTTTAATATGTGAGCTTACGGGAAATATATCAGACCCAACCCACAACAGTGACCACAGAATCAGATCTTCTCCTAGTCAAAAACCTTGAGATGACAACAGTCCTAGCTAATACCGTGGCTGAAGCCTTTTGAAAGATCCTGAGAACCCAAGTTTGTGACACCCAGATTTCTGATTCAGACGATGAAATAATATTGTTTTAAGACACTATGCTTTGAGGGGTAATTCACTGCACAGCCTTAGATAACTAAATTAATACATCTTCCAATTTCAAAATCCTCCTCTTCCTCCATCCCCAACACACACACACTAGGACCTTTTTCCTAATCTTAACTTTTAGTAGATGACATGACCACCTATGTGAAAAATGTCTTTAGTTATATAGGAATTTCCTCAACTTTTTTTCCCTCAACTTCTTGAAAGCAAATCTAGTCTTAAGAACATCTGATCCATCAATCCCTCTCTTGCACAATTAATCCTTTTTTTAAAAAAATCATCTTCTCCCCCTTCCAGATCCTTCCCCATCCGCATTTAAATTCTTCCCCATCCAAAAATAAACACACAAAAGAACCCTAAAACTGCCTTGACTCATCATCCTCTATAAGTACGTCTTCTCCTCCTTCATTATTTAATGAAAATTTTACAACTGTAATCACAATTTCTTTTCTTTTCCTAAGTATTCCTTAACCTACTTGGATATAGACTTTTCAGTATCCCAACCCCTACCAAGAACTCCACTAAATTTGTTCTTTCTCAGGTCTTCTACTAAAGATGTCTAAGATACTTGAGCATTCATACCATTTGGTACTCCCTTTTGGGACACTCTTATCTCATGGCCTTTTTTTTTTTTTTTTGGTACCAGGGAATTGAACTCAGGACCTTATGCTTTCAAGGCGGGCGCCAGAACCACTGAGCTAAATCCCCAGCCCCTATCATGGCCTTCTTGATGTCATATTCTTCTAGTTTTCCACTTTCTATTAGCTGCAGTACTCAGTCCTTTCAGGCTCTTCTATTTTCACTCAATCCATAAAGTTGATACTACTTCCTAGGGACAAAGTCCTAAGCCCTCCATTTGGACCCTGTGAGACCACGAGCTCAAAACTCAAATTCCTTAGGGGCTAGGAAAGCAACAAAATGGACAGGACGAGCTGAGTCTAAGACATTAGAAAGTGGCAGGCCTGTGATGAACTGCAGAGCTCAGATCCCATAAAAAGAGGTATTCTCTGGTTCAACCTAATTGTACCTATCTACTGAAATTTTCAAGTCTTATTTTTATGTGCAATTTGTCTTATATATTTGTGTGAATGGCAATTTTTTTAAAAAACGGTAGACCACCTACAAGGCCCTACGCTCCCATGCTGCAGATTCTCCTTAACCAATCTCATTCATTGTCATGTTTTCAATATTCTTGTCATGCTGAAAAACTTCCAAATCTCTCTGTAAGGTTAGCTCTTTCTTCCAAGCTATACACAGATCCATATATCCAAATTCTCTATTTGACATCTATCATCTCTACTTAGGTGTCTCCTTGAAATTATTCCTCTCATCTCCATCTTCTCTCCCGGCTTAATCTTTTTTTGCGTGTGTCAGGATCTGGCTACGTAGTTCAGCCTGGCCTCCAACTCACGGCAATCCTGCCTCACCCTCCCAGAGCGCTGGGATTACGGGCACACGCCCCTCTCTCAGCTCAAACTGTAATGCTCCCTGCCCCCAGCAGTAAGAAGGTCTAACACCTTTAACATTGCTTACAAGTACTGTAGCTTGTGGATCTGTCCTGCAACATTCCTTCAGTTCCAGGAATACTGTAATTCTGGCACCTCTGCATATGCCTTGGCTAAAATCACACACAAAATATCTCTTACACGTCACTGGCTTTCCTCGACACCCCCTCCCCCCATTACCTTATTCTTCACGTCTTGTTTGTTTTTGGTACCCGAGATCCAACCTTATGCTTGTGAAGCAGGCGGCAGAACCACTGAGCTAAATCCCCAGCCCTTCTTCACGTCTTAACACTCAGTAATCAGCATCTAGGCAATTACTGTTCAACGTTTTATCTGCTCTACCAGACTAAGAATGTAGAAACCACTTTCTTAGTGTACCTTGCTCACCGCTGGGTTTCCGAGTTCCTTTTTTGGGTTTGGTTTTTTTGGAAAGAGTGTCTCTATGTACCTCAGGCTGTCCTTGAACTCACTATGTATTTCATGCTGGCCTCGAACTCGTGGTGATCCTCCTGCCTCAGCCTCTCAAGTGCTGGGATTACAGGCTTGCGCCAACATGGCCAAGTTCCTTAAACAATGTCTTGCACTGTTGTTGACTCTCAAAACAAGTCTGTTGAAATCACGATTACATTCACACTTGCACACAACTTTTTCCCCTCAATCTCAAACTCTTTAGGAGAAAAGACTAAGTAAAATTCAACAACTACTTTATTCTCAAAATAATTCTTGGGATCCTCAAGAGGTTGCTTGAGGATCAATGGCCTCTTTAACAGGGCGGAGGTGGGGGCCCGGGAGAGCATCACGTGTACGTAATTCCCAGCCGATCCACTTTCAGAGGACAGCAAATACGTGCGCGGCCGGCTCGGCGACGGCGCGTCCCACGGAGATCCCGGCGCCCCAACGTACTCGTGCCCGCGCCACACAGCTGAGCGTCCCGGCGAGCACACGTGCTGGGCCGAGTGGAGTGGCACGCTGGCTCCTGCAGGGAAAATGGGGAGCGGGCCGCAGTTTAGGAGCAGAGACAGGTGCGAGGCGAACCGTGCCCGGGGAGGGGAGAACCCGGAAAGGAAGTGCAGAGGACTGACCGCGAGCTAGGTGAGAAAGGCCGGCCCAGGGCCCGGGGAGTGGGCGGGGTGGGGCGTGGCCGGGGAGGCGCGGAATATAAGCGTTCAGGGACTTGTTAGCGAGTGTATTCTGAATTCAGGACGAAACACTCACGTCTGGAGTCAAGTAAGGGAGGACTGGGAGGAGTGGAAAGGCGGTGGTTTAAGTACCTCGCCCTCTATCTAGTTGAGCCTTACACAGACCTAGCGCCACCGTAGCCTGTTTTTCCCCTGGAGCACCAAATACGTCTCAGATGGCCCCGCCCCCTGTTGGGGGCGTGGCTCATCTTCAGTGGTTAGCGCTCGGAAAGCGTCAGCGTCCGCCGGAGCCCAACGCAGTGACGCAGTACGTCGACGTAAGTGACGCGTAGGCCCGGGCTGCTCCTCCTTCCCTGAGTGAGTGCCGGCCCGGTCGGGGCGGGGGAGAAGAGGGAAGGCAGGGGAGGTAGAGGCGCCCCAGGAGTCGTTTGGGCCGTGTGCCGGACTGGGTCCCGGGCAGCGGGAGCCCGGGCCGGGCGGAAGGGCTTGGCAGGCCGTTAGAGAGCCGCCAGGGCTGCCGGTCCCTCCCTTGCCGGACTTGCGCGCCCGGGCGCCCGGAGCCTCCGGCGCTGTGCCCACCCCGCTCCAGCTCGAGTCTCCCGACTCCAATTAGGTCAGGCTCAGAGTCCCGCGGCCGTGGCTCCGGCCCGCAACGCTCAGCGGCCACTCAGCTTGCCTTTCTTTCTTCCTTCGTCTTCTTCTTTTGCCTCACCTTCCCCTCCTCTTTTCACGTTCCTGGGGTTTTTCGTTGTTGTTGTTTTATGCTTTGGAGGTTTTGTTTCGCGGCCTGAGCTCATAGGTGTACATTATCATGCGCCTCTTTTGTAGAGCAACCCGACGGCTATGGAGGCTGAAGAGACGATGGAATGCCTTCAGGAGTTTCCTGAACATCATAAAATGATCCTGGATCGATTGAATGAACAGCGAGAGCAGGACCGCTTTACCGACATCACCCTGATTGTGGACGGTGGGTAGAACAGAGGAGCGAATTTGTGCTTTCAGTTCTCTCCCCTTCCATCACCCGCCTTTTTTTTTTTTTTTAAACCCACCCTTTATGGTCTCTCTACCAAAGTCTGAACTGGGAGTGGAGGGCCTTTGACAGTGTCCGCTGACACAGACCATGCTGCCGAAAGCTGGTTGGCTAGCCCTGCTTGCAACATAAACTGATGTCCATTGTGTTTTCAGTTCTTACAGCCTATTGAAGTTTTTCTCATTGCACACTTGAATAATATGATAGAGAAGATACTTCAAAATGTTTGGCTAGTACATGGGGAGGATGTCTCAAAATTCTTGATTATTAATCTTCTGTTGGTAAGCTGTTTTGAGGAGTTCCTCACCAGTCATTTGGGAAGTGTTGATTCCTTTCCAGCTTTCCAGATGGTCTCGGGGAAAGAATATGAGAGATTACTTGGCTGCACGTATATGCCATTTCAGAGCCCCCAAAATAAATTGAGATCTTTACCAGTCTTAGTAGCTGTTACATTGGAGGCAAACCCAGCTTGGCTATCTTTGCTAATTAGTGAAAATTGGCTTTTTAAGGGCAAGCTATTCTTGTTATAGGTCTACCATAGATTGAACTTCCAACTACTAGATATTTCCCCTAGCAGTTACATCTAGTTTTGTGCTTACTCTATGATTTTCTTTTCTTTTTTTTTTTTTATCTGTCCAAATGATGTATGATGTTTTGGATTGTCTTTATTTAGCACTATCAACTGGGTAGGATATGATTCTTGTTACTTAATTGAAGGTAATGGAAAGTTCTAGGACAATGATGCCAAACCTTTTAGAGCTTTCAATAACAGCCTGCTGCCGCACACATGCCATAGATTCACCACCACTGTTCTAGGAGGTTCCTTGTGTTGTAAACTGGCCTTTGTAAAACTAATTTAAGAGCTGGGGATTTAGCTCAGTGGTTCTGGCTCCTGCCTCGCAAGCACAAGGTCCTGAGTTCAATCCCCCGTATCAAAAAAAGAACTGACTTAATAAAATCTTTGACTTCAGATAGAGGATTAAAATTTGCCAAGATAGTTAAGAATATTTTGACTTCAGATTAGTAATTTCTATAGATAGGTAACTATATTGTGAAGAAGGATCTATTTTACTTCAGACAATTTTGTTTTAGTTTTTAAATTTTTTGCATTGTATAATCCCCCAACCCTTTTTTAACCACCACCCCCCCTTTTTTTTTTATTTAGGGCACCATTTTAAGGCTCATAAGGCTGTTTTGGCTGCTTGCAGTAAATTCTTCTACAAATTCTTTCAAGAGTTTACTCAGGAACCCTTGGTGGAGATAGAAGGTAAGTGTTTGTTTTGAATGGTTAACAAGCATAATTGGTTTGTTAGTGGACCAGATTGTTTTTTTGAGGCACAAGAATTTTCTGTAAAATGCCTAGTAGAACAGTCTGCCAACAAAAACTTAGATGGTAGATTTTAGGGTCTAAAAGGAGTCTTTTCTGTTGCTGATACCATTCATCTACTGGTAAACTACCATCTCCTAGTGGGCTTATGTTTCAGATGGGTAGGAATGCTAAGTTACTCTAGTAGGAGAAGTAGTGATGTACTAACAGGGGCAAATAATATACACAGGATGAAACAGGCTGCCAAAATATAGAAAAGGCTAGGAAAGTTGAACTAAAGTAGCATTCAGAGGAATTCTCCTGGCTGTAGAATGTCTTAGGGTGCAAAGGATCATTAGTTAGATATTCCCTTGAAACAAAAGTGCTTTTTGTACTTGAGTTTTTTCTAATAGCCTACCAAGTGCCAAGCGTTACTCAGTGTAGTTTGTGTATTATCTGTGGCTCACATTCATTTATGGATATTATTTCCATTTTCCAATTTACACATCAGGGAACAAATTCCAAAAGATTGCCCAGCTAGAAATAGATTCAGTTTGTATTTATTTGCCATTCTTTTATCTTTTGCTGTTAAGAGTACTCTTTCCCCACCCCATCTCCCATCAAAATCCAAAATTATAGGAAATAAATCAATTTGTCTACATAAATATAGACTCTTCACCTCTGACAGGGCTTTTGGGTTTTGGTTTCGTATCACTCACTGCATACATATTCTTTGTTATGAATAGGTTGCCTAGAAACAGTATTCCTTTGGAAAAATTTGATGCCTAGGGGAGTAAAGAAAACAGAGTTAAGAATATCCTTTTATTTTGGTGTATTCCAGTTGATAAATTCACAGATAAACTTTTTTGACTATGAGGGTCAGAGCACAGGCATAATTAGAATTTCACACAGCTTACTAAAGAGAATCTAGCTGCTTAGATTTTATTGATTTTACTACAAAGCAAAGACTCCACCATTTCATTCACCTGAGGCTTGTTGTATGTCTTACGTCAGGCAAGTTACTGTACCTCAGTTGCATATTGGTCTCCACATCCGAAAAGTAGGTTAATAGCCTTATAATGACTAGTTGATATATGTGTAGAGTGTCTGGCCTTGTGTTTGAAATGGTAATTATTTATCACATTGAATACTTATTGTATGTATATTATGTATTGTGTTAGACCAAGGAGCTGAAGAATTGATGAATATGACATCCCCAATGAAAAATGAAAACCCCATAAAGAAAATAAAAATAAGACATGCCTTAAAGAACTTGAAAATGTAATACCAACAGGTAAAGAAAGAATACAAAAGGTGTTAGAGACTTACTGTGGAATGATATTACTGAGAGGAGAGAAAAGGTGTAGTCTATTTTACATAGGAATGATTTCAAAGAAGAGTTCACTTCTGCAGTAATTTAAAAAGTCTTAAATAAGTGGCCCACCCTGGAATATTCATTGCTGGTGGAAAGAACTGCATTGGGAGTAGTGGGATCTTTTTCTAAAGACTAATCACCTTGGAATATTCTCATATAACTCTACCTCTGACCTGCCATGTCTGTTACAGTATTGCACAGATAAGCCTTCAATATTTAAATGTAGAGCCAGGGATTTAGCTTAGTGGAACCGTGCTTGCCTAGCAAGGTCCTAAGTTCAATCCCTGGTACCAAAAAAAAAATATTTAAACATAGACAAATGAAGTAAAATGGAAAACACATTTTGTTACTTGGCCAGATTCAAGTTCAAAGAATGAATTTGGCTAGTATCTTAACACCTATACCTCTGAGATTGCTTTCCTGTCTAGCAAGGTCACCTAGCTGTAAAGAAAGCCCTGGACGCATAATTAGAAAATCTGAGTTTTAGTCTTAGCCTTAACTGTGTGTCATTTGTACCTTTGACATCTTGGCTGCTGCTTTTTTTTTCTTTTTAATCTATAAACTGTCAAATAAATTTGGACATCATGGACATCTTCAGTATTACGAGAGGGTTTTTTTCTTCTTTCTTTTAAAATCTTCAATATTAAGTTACAAGGCTAGGTGCTATTTTTTTTTAGCAGCACCACTGAGCTAAATCCCCTGCCCAAGGCTAGGTGCTGTTAAAAGCCTTTGGGAAATGTTTTTATTTTGTTGAGGGGCAATCAACCAGGATAGGTTCAAGCTCTCTGGGTTATGGATACAGTTCCACTTGAGCTTTCAAAACCTTTGTAGTGCTGTCCAGGTCACTGGTGTACTTCCTGGGACTTGAGTGGTCATCCATGCCATGATGTAGTTCTTAAAGCCTTTGATATGCAGCCTTGAGTCAGTGCAGCTCCCTCTTATTCCTCTGCACTCAAGCTCTCAGGAGTTTCTTTTTGTGGTTCTCTTGCTAAAAAATGCTTTTTACTTTTTCTGTGCTGTCATATAGTTCCCAAAGGTGAGTCCATTCCTGAATGAAGTGGTGTTAAAGACAGAGGAAAAAAAACATGAATTACCTCCATACTCTTGAGATCAGTCTTTTTCCTAGTGCCTTTGATAAAAAAGTTTCAAGAGCTTAGGTGGTAGCCACCAGTCATACATGTGCAGCCTCAACTATGGCTTATTTTGATTCAGAGCTGAAAAGAAAAATTACCAGAAATACCCTTTTCCTCCCCCTTCATCATCTTTCCTGATAGTCTAGCCAGGAAGAGTTTCTCTTGGAGCTTTTTTTTTTTTTTTTGTCTCTACCTACTGTTCAGTTACAGGATGGGGCTTTTAAGTCTAATCTGGCATATGTGAGAGGAAAAAATTAAAACTAGACAACACTCACTGCTCTTTGAGTTTTGAGTTCTCTTCCCGGTCTTCTTGCCTTGATTTTCAGAGTCCTTGTATTTGCTTTATGTATTTCCAGGATTTTTAGTTGTAATCAGTGGACAAGATAAGGTGCAGGTGCTTGTGCATTCTCTTATCTAGAACTGGAACCCGCATCTCTAAGATATGAGTAATGATTTGTAGCAGTGCACATTAGCTGTATATAAGAAACACTAGGGAAACTTACAAGTACCAACACCTAGGCTATATGATCAGTTAAATAGAACTTCCAAGGATTGGATCTAGGCATCTGTATTTAAAAGTTCTCTGGCTTCTTGCTAGTGTGTTTTCTGAGGACTGATGATTGTGAGGATCACCTGGGAGTGTCTTAGACTCAGGTTGTATCTCAGACCTGCAGACTCACAGGATTCCCATATGATTCCTGTGCACAGTAAAGTTTGAGTCTCACAGCCCTAGAATGACTCCAATCTCTAGTCAGTGTTGAGTACCACCACCTTGTAGAATTTTGTAAAAGCAGATAGTCTGTAGGTTAAAAAAAAAAACTTTAAATTGTAATGTGCTTTGAGAATATAAACTCAGTGGAAGCAAGCTTAGCTATCCTTGTTTTCTGGTTTCCTGGCAAAGTAACCTTTCTTTCTAACCTTTGATTAGAAACCTTTGACTTCAAATTAAAATTGTTGGTCTTTTTTTGTGTGTACTGGGGTTTGAACCCAGGAACCCTTCACCACTGAGCTTTATCTCCAGCCCTTTTGATTTTTTGTTTTGAGACAAGGTCTCCCTATGTTTTCCAGACTTGGCCTAAACTAATGATCCTCTTGCCTCAGCTTCAAAATCTTAGCTCTTGAAGTTAGTCGCATCCCAGCCCAGCTTTGTGGCTTAAATTGACACCACATACAATCTTCAACATGCATTCCCTGGTTCAGAACTAAGATTTCAGTTTTCTAAATTCATGCTTTTTCTGCTTTTTTTGAAACCACAGATCCATAGTCTGATTTCTCTTTAATGGCAGCTCTCCCATCATGTCCAGAAATTTTAGCTCCTATTATCAAGGACAAAACATCCAGCTGCATATTCAGATAATGTTTTGTGTAGTTTTCCACCAGTTAGAATTCTGTAATACTAGAGAAATGTCTGAATACCGCTACTTTTTGCTTTTTTTCTAAGCATCGCTGTCAAGAAGACACATTAAAATGTTTGCGTCAACATTTTAAATGCTTAGAAACATTTATTTTCCTGCATACTTTCATTATAACAGGAATAAGAGATTGATAAGAAAATCCTTTAGTCCTGAGATTTACAAGTTATCAACTAGTCCTGATAGAGAAAATATTTTTTTAAAACTATCATCTACCTCCTTACTTACAAGGCGGGTGTTAAAGAGTTTGGTTCATATTTTTAGCTCATTAGTTAAGTCGGTGGTTTGTTCCTAAGATGGGGTGGGTCCGGTCACATAAGAACCATCTGAAAGTTGCTTACAAAAAATTCATCCCAGGTTTGATAGCAAAGATCAGGAACCAATACCTTTACTAAGCCCGCGGGTGATTCTGATCAAAACCAGAAACACAGTCCATAATTTTTTATTCAAATCCTTAGAGGCCAGATTCATTTCCCAATATTCCAGACTTCAAAATTTTTCTATGGTAATATAGTTCATGTTCATAATATTTCCAGTGAGGTTTGGCATTACATCCTGTAACTCAGTATTAATTTTTTTTGGTGGGGGGTTACTGGGGATTGAACTCGGGTCCTTGCGCTTGCACAGCAGGCAGCGATCAGTATTAATATTTTTGAGGCAAATTTTGTTAATATTTACTCTTAAGTGGGATAAAGACTAAATATAGCTTTAGTCCTGACCAAATTTTACTGTCAAACTTCTGGGGTATGATTTTAAGAGATTTGAGAAGCTGGGTACTGTGGTTTATGCCTGTAGTCCCCAGCAGTTGGAAGGCTAAGGCATAAGGATCAAGAGTTCAAGGCCAGCCTGGGCTGTGTAGTGAGATCCTGTCTCAAAAGAAGATTTGGGAAAGTAGAGGCAAAAGGGGTAACTGACTGTACTTGAGAGATAATAATGAGACCGAATAAAAAAGTTTATCCTTGATTCAGTGTAGTGATGAGGGAGAGGGAAAAGTTTATTTAGTGAGATGGAAAATACAAGAGTAAGGACAGATTTCAGGTG